TCTAAATAAATGCCTTTTAAATGACTGTTTTTACGATTTATTCTGTCACTTTTGTGATACGACCACCCATGGTTTAATAACATAAAACATCAGTTTCACTTAATTCATACATCATTCTACTGAACTCTCATAAGAGCGGATTTGTTAGGGACCATTCTCTTTTTAGATATTTAGATATTTTAATAAGGATGTATAGCTTTCTTGACTTAAATTTACCGTTTTTCCGGTTCACAAACCTACATCACCCTGTTACTTGTCACATCTTTTTTATTTCACATTTTGATTAGTACAATGATTAATGCAAATAATCTCACCATTTTCGTTAGCCAGACATTCTTCAGTCTTCCACCTCCCATGCCCTCAAGGTTCACAAAGTTTGTTTTATTTGCGTTACTCTGTTGCCACTGTCCCTAGAGCTACCCCAACTCTTTTCTGATTTTTCCACTTTGGATCCATAGTTATGTACATAGTTGCTCTTTCTCTAAAAAGCTTTTATCCAGTTCCTTTGTTGCAGGGGACATCACTCTGCTCTGCTCTGCCCTTGTCATGGTGTAACACTTCTATCTCCACGCTGCACTTGAAGTGCAGCTGTTTTCTTGACCTGTGTCTACCGCATCTTTATCCCTTCTGCTAATGTGGTGATTTTCTTCACATTACCGTAAAAAGATCCTTGCGAGTGTTTTAACCCTGTTCATGACATAAATCCACTGTTTTCACTGTGTCTTGAATTACTCTTCATGTTGAGGGTGGATTATTACATCTTGAGGAGATAAATGCAATGTATGGAAAATACTTCGACTTTTTGCGAATGATCATTTCAGTCACTTATGCACTCTGTCACTCAATTTCTGGATACAGATAATAACAAGTTGAAAACGTTTCTACAAATACCGTGTACTGTCTTTGTGTTCTTAGTGCCTGGCATATACCGACTGCATAGTGAGACTCAATCTATGTGAAATGAGTGATAGAAAAAAGAAAGCAAAAGGAGAAGAGAAGGAAGAAAAGGAAGCTGTTTCTTCTACATTTCAAACATCATGGTCTGCATGTAACCACTTCCCTAGTCTTAGTATAGTAGACACTGATAAGGTCATCTTTCTTGTTTTTATTTTATTCAGAAGATTTATTGTAATTCCTACAGGTATAAATATAAATATTTTTTTTCTCGTAGGATGAATTAAATTTAGATATGTAATTCAAGGAAGGAGAAAATGAAAATAAATTAATATATAGTAAATGCATATAAAAGTAAATGCATATAAATCAAACATACAATGAATACATATAATAAATAAGTAAAAATTCTTTATATCTTGCTTACGTGTGAAAGGATGGTGTCTTAGTTATCTGCTGCTGCTATATCAGAAATACAGCAAGTGGGTGGCTTTAACAAACAGAAATTTATTTTCTCGCAGTTAGGAGGCTAAAAGTCCAAATTCAGGGTGCCGGCTCTAGGGGAAGGCTTTTCTCTTTCTGTCGGCTCTGGGGGAAGGTCCTTGTTTCCTTTCAGCTTCAGCTCCTGGGCAATCTTCATGTGGCTTGGCATGTCTCTGCCCCCATCTCTGCTGCTCACTTGCTTGTTTAATCTCTTTTATATCTCAAAAGAGATTGGTTTGAGACACACCCTACACTAAGACTGTCTCGTTAACATAGCAAAGAAAGCCCATTCCCAAATGGGATTATAACCACAGGTTAGGGTTTATAACACATATTTTGGGGGGACACAATTAAGTCTACAATGGATGGGAAATTTAATAACTGAAATTTAATTTTGAACTATTTGTCATATTTCATCTTTTTCATTTCAAACTACTTTTTTCTCTTCGTTTTCTTGACAAGCTTTGTGTGATGGATACTCTCTGATCTCTATTGCACCTGGTACATATTGGAAGTATTACAAAATGACCATGACATGGTGCCACCATCAATTATATTCTTAAGATTCAAATTACAGTTAGAAATTTTATACCAAGAGTACCCTGAGTATATTTTTTTGGAGTGAAATTAAAAACTAGTAGGTGATCTTGGCAATTTGTAATTGGAAAAAATGCATTTACAATATATATTCTAAAGTAAAAAGAGATAGATAAATCATACTTACATTAATAAAACAAGTTAAATACCTAAGTGATTGAATATTTTTTTCATATTTAGCAATTTTATCTTCCATGAAAATCCCATATTGTTTGAAATTCTGTGCTAAGAATTTTATATATATAGACACTTAAGTATAGCCATTTAGGGAAAAAATCAATTTCAACTCAGAAAAGCTTATGACACACCTCGTGTCTACCCATTCTATATAGAATCAATGTGTTCTAGGGCTGGAAATTATCCAGCTAGTTTATGTACCTATGGTTTCCAATCCAACACAATTCCTGTAGCATGGTGTTCTCAAATGAGCAATCAAACGAACGAGAATTGAAGCTACTACTCTCTCTTTGTTTCATATTCTCAGGATTGGGAGGGAAGTGAAACAAACCAGTGATTCTCAAACTCTAACATATGGGAATCATCTGGGGTGGTGTTAACCTGCAAGTTCTGATCCAGTGGGTGTGAGTCTGCGCTTCTAACAAGCTCCCACACGGAGCTTTGAAAAGCAAGGAAGTAGAGGGTGTTTACCATTAGTTCACCAATACAGGCAGATTGTGTTTGTTTACACGACTGTACCTGGACAACTTGACCTCCCAATTGACTTCAGATTCCCTGGTTATGAGGTTATTGTGAGGATTAGAACAATATAACGTATGTAGTACAGTAACTGGCCTATAAAACCAAAACCAAATCAGTTGCCATTGAGTTGATTCCAACTCATGGTAACCCCATGTGTGTCAGAGTAGAACTGTGCTCCATAGCGTTTTCACTGCCTGTTTTTTTCAAAGTAGGTAGCCAGGCCTTTCTTCTGAAGCACTTCCTGTCCAGATTTATTAGCTTAGATCCAGCGCCTTCTTTGTGTGTGTGCATCATGTGTAATCACACCAAGCCTAGCTCTTAGAAGGATGCCATTCTTGCTGTTCCTGTCTTGCAAATTTTGATAATTTTACCCTTGAACTTGTGTTTTGTAAATGAAGTCCAGTGGGAGGATGGTACATGCATGTAAGCAGAGGAGATACGCTGGCTCATGTGGGCTCCACCCTTTGGGCAAGACTGACATTTTCATTTTTCATTGGGCCCCACAAAGCATGTGGCTGACCCTGCCTAGATCTGGTCCTCCCGTTTCATTCCAGTTTTTTCTTCTGGATTAATGGTAGCCTTTCACACCTTCACCCACCTATGCTACCCCATCCTCAGTCTGCAGAGTCCCAGGCAATTTGTTATTCTGATAAATTCATTAATGTATTACAATTAAGAACTAAGCCTTAATACAAAAAAAAAAAACATTTTAAGCTGGTCTATTCTAGAGAAGCCCTTCTCCCCTTTTTCTCACACATACTAAATAATCCTTTAATATTTGAACCTGGGAGTAAAAAGGATGTGAGAAGATACACTAGGATGAATGGTGGAAGAGATTATTGGCAAGCCACACGTCTTCAGCATCTCTTCAAATGCATTTACGCTTCTATAAAGTACCAGAGCTGCTTATTTTGCTTATTCTTACATTAAGGGTTTTTATAGATAGGTGTCAGTATTAAATAATCAAGCAATACATAATAAAATAAAATAAATTTAATTTAATAATAAACCGATAGACTCTGACTCATGGTGACCCTATGTATGTAAGAGTAGAACTATGCTCTGTAGGGTTTTCAATGGCTGATTTTTTTTGTGTGTGTGTGGGAGGGAAATAGACCACCTGGACTTTCTTCAGAACCACCTCTGGATGGACTCAATCATCCAGCCTTTCGGTTAGCAGTTGTGTGCAATAACCATTTGCCCTACCCAGGGGCTTAGATCGAATCATCAGCTATTCTAGGCTGAATGTCAATATCGTATGATGCATTGGTTTTATTTGTGAGTACCTTAACTGAAGGCAGTTCCTTTTAGTAAAGTGCCTGATTGCTTCTTCAGGGTCTGTAAATATTGATCCTACTTATATACGAGATAAGGAGCCCTGGTGGAGCAATGGTTAAGTGCTCTACTGCTAACCAAAAGGTTGGTGGCTCAACCCATCAACTGCTCCATGAGAGAAAAGACCTGCTGATCGTCTCCCGAAAACCCGTTGTTGTCGAGTAGATTCTGACTCATAACGACCCTATAGGACAGAGTAGAACTGCCCCATAGGGTTTCCAAGGCTGTAATCTTTACAGAAGCAGACTGCCACATCTTTCTCCTGAAGAGCGGCTGGTGGGTACAAATTGTGGACCTTTTGGTTAGCAGCGGAGCTCTTAACCACTGTGCCACCAGGGCTCCTCCTGGAAAAATTACAGCTTAGGAAACCCCACAGGGCACTTCTGCTCTGTCCTATAGGGTGGCTATGAGGCAGAATTGACTTGCTGGTACACAAAAACAATATGAGACAGTCCATGAAAAATTTTTGTTGTCTTTAAAAGAAAGAGAGTGTGAGAGCTATTGAATATAAAATATTTGTTCTTATATATATATATATGTATATATATATATATTTTCCTAGAAGGACTGAATTCCCAGATTCACACTTAAAATTTTTAATAAAGACTGCTAAGTGTGCTTGAAAAACAAAAAGGCAAGACAGAAATATTAGAGCTTCACATAGAATAGGGAACATTTTTTAAGAATCATGTAAAATACGTATGCATTCGAATTGGAGTATTTTGTACTAGACATGGGGAAGAGAACATTTTATTATCGAAAAGTACTTGATCCACTGCGTTTTAAAATAAGTTAATATAGAAGAACTAGTGCATAACTGCAATTTAAAGTCATTTCAACTCTTGGTAAAATGGCAGGAGAAATGAGTCAAGGCCGTTTTTTCATCTCTACAAGATGAGAGCAATAGAAAGAAAAGAATTTTTTTTCCCCCAGATAATGAGAATGTTATCTATATCATTTGGTTTCTAAGTCTTGGTCTTTGCATTCTACAGCGGTAGGTCTGGCCGCGTGCCCAGAACCAGCCCTTCCCAGCAATGGCATAAAAACTGGAGATCGATACATGGTGAACGACGTGCTGTCCTTTCAGTGTGAGCCCGGCTACACGTTGCAGGTATCTTTCTTTTGAGTTCTTATTAATAAAGAGCGTTCAACATAGTGATCCTTGGCGAGCTTACTTAAAGCTTCAGCCCTAGACTTGTACCTCGTGGGCTAATTTAATATCACAGTAGTCATATTGTCCGTGCATGCTGGTAGTCTTAATAATCATGTGGAAATAATTTCTAAACAATAAAGCACGATCCCAAAGTCGCGCATTTTATTTTCATTATTAGTTTATTTCAAATGTGTGCTTTCCCAATAAACATGCTGACAAGATTCTAAAAGGCCAAGTATCTCCACAGTCTCTTGGTAGGCCCTGTCCTGCAACCCAGTTATTGGATCTGCTTTGGAGGCACGTGCTTGTTTTGTTTTGCAAGCTGTTCTCATGATTCCATTTAATGAATTCTTACTAAGTTCCAACCATGTGCCAGGTACTGTGCAAAATGCTCAAGTAATAGATTTAAACATTTTTTAAGAAATATTAAATAGAAATTTTCAACATTTCATATTAAATTATAGATGGTAACAAGAAGAATATTAGTTATAAACTAATGTATGGCAAGAATAGACCATGTTGGGCAGACTTAAAAAAACAAAACAAAACAGCTTTTGTAAGCATCAGAAAGAGGCGTAAAAGCAGAGCAGTGAGATGACACCATTGATTCAATTTCTGCTTGTCCTTCTCTACGGTCTGGGCCTTCCTGATAACACCTCCAAAGCACTTGAGACAAAGTCTCGCCATCCTTTCTTCTAAGGAGCATTTTGGCCTAGTCCATTTCAGTAAATGAAAACTATTATTGCTATTATTATAAAAAAAAAACAATATACAAAGTCACCTTCATATAAACAAAACCACACATACATTATATAGATCTGGTCAAGCTCTACAGTAGTTATTTTGTCTGTTAAAATGATGGACAGAGCTTTGCAACGTACACCAAATGGTCCTGTAGAAAGCATTTTCTGATGGACACGTAGAAGGGTTTTCTAAAAGCTCTGTTGTCCGAGCAAGCTGGGTGACCGAGCACAGTGAGCCCATTGTCATTAATTCTTTAAGATAAACCGTGGCTGCTTCACTTGTTAGAGTTGAAAGAATTATGAGTTTCACTTACAGGGACATTTTCTGTGAAAATAAAAAAACAAAACAAAACAACCAAATACTCATACAGGTCATTTCTTTGGGTTAAGGTTTATATGGGAAAGCAACGTGTGTCCCTAACCCGATCTCAGAATATACTGACTGCCATGTTTATGCTTTTTTATTTTGCTGGCATTATAATTGACTCAAGCAACCTCAGTAGCATATTCTCTCCAGTCTCTCCCAAGTTCCCACTTTAATACTTGCTCTGCTCACGTGTGCTCGTGTTCTTTCCTCATGTTTATGATGTACTTCTAACTTCTGTAAACATGCTTTGGTGAGTTATGTGTCCACAGCTCTCACAGAAAACAGAAAGCACCCTTTCGCAGGAACGTTTCTCATCATGCATTGTCTAACATGCTCCTTAGAGATAAAGGCCTCTGGACACCCATCTGCAGAGCCCCATCAAGCCATTCATTAGTTCTTTTTTTTTTTTTCAAATGCAAAGTAAGCTTTTTTTCCCCTTCATTATAGACAAAGTCAAGCTTTGAGTTCACAAGCAGCTGATTTTCATTTAAACGAACAAAAAAGAATTTTGGATTGTTAAATTTTTGCTAAAAATATATTTGGAATGACAGTGTGCATACATTACATAATAGTCATGAAAAGTATTTCTGCTGGCACAGTTCACAAATAAATTTGTCTAAATATATATGCTTGGTAAGATTCATGGGCATGATACAAAGTTGCCAGGGCATGGAACATTAAAAGTACATCCTGAATACTTGAATGAGTTATGATTTCCAACTTCTCTAGACGCGATACACCATTCTTTTAAAAGATGAAGAAAGAAGGTTCCTGTTTGAGTATAAATAATAAATAAATTTATAGAGTCCTGTCTTGTTTTTGATCCATTATGCAAATTTCAGCTGGAATCACTAATATGAAATGTTTGTATAAAAATCAATATAGAATATTACCTAGGTTGGTAATAAATGTTTCTTTTGTTGCTAGTCTTCAATAAATATCTTTAAGGACTTTGCACTTTAAGTCTGTACGTATTTTAGAAAGAAATTTATGATGGAAAATTTAATGGATCAGAGAATGAGTATACACGGGGGAGCATGAAATTTAGCAGAAAAACCATTGTCTAGAATGTCATCTTTGAAAATAACTATTCTCTTTCTTTGCTGTAGCTACTTTTAAAAATATCAGGAAGTATGAGAAAATCCGTTTTGTGGCATATGAATGGGGTATGAGATTTTTTGAAGCTTGGGGAATCAGTTTGTCACTGATAACTGACTGCATTAGGACAAATTCTTGTTTGATTTGTTCCCAGTGTGGTTGGGATTATTTAACATGAATTAAAGATGTGTGTTTTCAATGGACTCTGTGCCAGTTGTGGGTGGCAAATGGAAATTCATGAAAGGCAGATAAGGCCACAGAGTCACACCGAGGTGGGGGGGGACTGCACCCAGAACTACCTTTTATGAACTTCTCTTTCAGTGTAAGAGAGATTTTAGCACAAAACATCTCAGAAGTTAACCCTCTGCTTTTTGATTTGGAAAAGAGGAATACAAGCATAGATTTTGAAGGCTGAAAGTTGAAAGCTCCATGTATGTAAAGGACAAAGAGACCTGGAGTGATGAGGGTTAATTTCATTGCAGGCATATTAATTTGACAGCCTGTGAGGCTGACTGATAATATAAATAATATTAAGTCTCCTAGATCTTCGCTGAGCATTAATGGTGCAGCACCTGGTACGTGAAGCACAATCACAAAAGTCACCTTTTCATGAGCAGATCACATACTGCTGGCATTTTACCCTCCGAGCAATACCTGGTAGTTCCGAATCATTTTCAGCCTCTCCAGCCAAAAGCTAACACATTTAATGGTGAACAAAAGACTCACTTTGTCCAATTCAATTCATCTTCTTTAAGCATTTGAAAATGAGCCTCTCAGAAACATAGCCTATTTAAAGGGACATTGCAAGATTTTTTTTTTTTCCTAGTGAAAAGAAACACAGTGATGATGGACTTTTTTGCTATTTTGATTCAAAATTTGTAATTCATTAATAATCATGAACAGAAATCTGTATCACTTTCTGATTTCATTTTACATTTGTAATAAAATCACAAATATTTTTCCAAACATGTAATCATTAAACACTATATTTTCAGTATGAGAGTTTTTTTCTCGTTTTCTTTTCTACAGGGTCGCTCCCATATTTCTTGCATGCCAGGAACTGTTCGACGTTGGAACTATCCTTCTCCCCTTTGCATTGGTATGGAAGCATCACCTGTAATTGTCTTACTCTGGACACTTCCTGTCAATTACATGATGGTGACCTGCTTGTTCGACTATCTCGGGCTTCCAATGTGCACTTTTAAATGTCTTTGAAAACATTTGTTATATAATAATAATAATAATGTAGTATACATATCAAGAATTTAACATAGATCTTCTCTCACTGGATGAAGTAGTTCAGTTTTTTTGGCCAGTATTTTAGGATCAGCCTACACAGATTAGATGTAAGATTATTAGCTCAAGGCACTAAACTAAAATTATGTTTCTATGTGAAGGCCAGTTTATTAATTTATGGGAATGAATGAAAGTAGCTAGTCTGAAAGTCTGAGTAGTTTTCTATGTATAGCTTCATCTTGAAATAAATCCAGATTTTCATCAACAAAATTCAGAAATGCAAATAAGTGATTTGAAATTGGAGTCAGAGTTTTTATACCAGAGACACAAAAGCCACCGTCCATGTGGATTTTCTCATCCAGCTGAGGAATCAGCCTGTCTCTTTAGGGGAAAGCTTTCCAAATATTGTATTTAAAGAGAAAGAACCTGTGCCTGAGGATCCATAAAGTTTTAGAATCTATTGTATGATGGGAATTTTAATGATTCCTTGGGGTACCAGGTGGTTATCATTTGCTTGTGTTACAGGAAGTTCTTGAAGTGTAGAGACGGGTAGATGTCGCCATGAGTTGGAATCGACTTGATGGCAACTGGTTTGGTGGAGTTTTTGGTAGATGTCAGGGTTTTTGTCTTTGTTCTCCTTTACACTCTGCGTGTTCCACTCTCTCAATTCACCCAGTGTTATATGTCTGACTCAGAAATCTTTACTTATAGCTCAGGTCTCCGTTCAACTTTATTCTTGTCTGTGTTTGTTGTCCCAGAATGGTCATTTCCAAATCCACTTTTACTTTCAAAAGTTTCTGGTAAGGGTGATAAATATTTGGAACACTACCTACAGCATATACTTCTATGCTGGGCTTCAGGTCTGATATTCAACCTCCACTGGAAGTCTGTAGGTGCTCCATAACCCATTGCTGTTGCGTTGATTCCAACTCATAGCGACCCCATGTGTTTCAGAGTAGATCTGCTCCATAGGGTTTTCTTTGCTGGAATCTTAATGGAAGCAGATCTCCACGCTTTTCTTTCATGGCACCACTGGGTGGGTTTGAACTCAAACTGTTTGCGCCACCTAAGCACCCCTATGGGTGCTCCATAGTCATTTACAACTCAATACGCCCAACCTCCATTACCTGTTGTCTTCTTCAAACATGTTCCCTCTTCCGCATCCCCTTCCTCAGGGACTGCCTTTATCATCCACTTTTTTGTCTAAGTCACAAATCTAGATGATACATTAGATGTCTCCCTCTCCCTCACTGCCCGAAAAGATTTCTTCCTCTTGTCAACCTTGCCACCTGAATGCATCTCCAGTTTTGGTCCTTAGCTCTCCCATCTCATTAAGGTCCCTATGAGTCACAACAGATTCGACCATAATGGGTGTACCCTTACATAAATTTTTTAGTATCTGTAAGGCTTACTTTCTTTATCTGTAAAATGGGGATAATAGTAACATCAGCCTTTTAGGGTTGTTATGAGAATGAAGTGAAATTTTGTATTTATCTCAGCAAAGTACATAGCACGTAGTTAAAAACTGGTAAGTAGTAATTAATACTACTCAATACATAGTAGCTAATAAACCACAGTTAAAAGTCAATTTGATGCCTAACTAAAATGTAAGCATTAAATTGGCTCACCTTTCCTGAGAACCTCTGTTTACCTGAATAAGATGAATTTTGAAAAATGGTCTTTATTCTTAAGCAGTTTACAGTTAAGAGGGGGAGAAAACTCCAAACCAAGCCCCTTACGCTCCAGTCGATTCTGACTCATAGCGACCTTACGAGAGAGTAGAACTGGTCCCTAGGGTTTCCAAGGAGCGGCGGATGGATTCCAACTGCTGACCTTTTGGTTAGCCGCCCGGCTTTTAAGCACTGCGCCTCCAGGGCTCCGAGATGGGGAGAAAGGCACATAAATAACTAAAAAGCACTGCATTGCACTATGTGCAAGAGTAGGGGCAAAATGTAATTCTGAAGACTTGCTTTTGCTTAGCATAGTAGAGTAGAGCAGTTTGAATGAAATAGTCTTTGGAGAAAGTGATAACGCAGAGAACTGACAGGCACTGTCCATTTAACAGCCACGTGCGGAGGGACCTTGAGCAGTATGAGCGGGGTGATCCTGAGCCCCGGGTTTCCAAGCGCTTACCCCAACAACTTAGACTGCACCTGGAAGATAGCGCTGCCCATTGGCTACGGTAGGTGAAAGCATGTTTAATTCTTCAAAGTTCAACTTTTTAATTTCTGTCTTCAAAAGAATTAAGCTGAATAAAAAATGTGTCCTACTCTGTTTCCGTAACTGTCTTTAATTGAAAGTGACTTCCAGATTTAAATAAAGCTCTGGCAGAATACATCTTAGAACACAAAGTTATTTGAAAAATCAGTTCAGCCTTGCAAGTTTTTCAAGGCAAATTAAATTAGCTGAATGACGATGTAGCAGGCACATGAAGTGCAAAATGTAGCATCCCTAATTCAATTATCAATCTCTGTGTTTATAATATGGGCTTTCCTAGTCTGTGGGATTCAGTAAGGGTTATTGTTTCTTTTTGCAAAATTTTAAGACTTATTTTCAGGTTGTGGTATATTTTAAACTGCATGTAAGACACAAAATTTGAGAACAGGACTGTTTTATAAAGTTTTGGAATTACATATTATGTTGATTATAGGTTTGTGAAAAGGGCTTTTTTATATTAGATATCAACTTTCAGGTCTCCATCTTGAATACTTCTTAACTTTGTTATGCGCCCTAAACCTCATTTTGACCTCTTCTCAGAGATGCATCATTTCGTGAAATTTTGATTCCCTGTCACTTCTTTCCCTTTCAGAAAATGGTCTGCACTGCACCATCATTTTCCTTGTGTTATGGCTCATTAATCCAGGTCTTTCCCACCTATGATTCTCTAAAAATCACACACAGTAATAAAACCAAACCAAACCCATTGCCGTTGAGTCGATTCCGACTCATAGTGACCCTACAGGACAGAGTGTGCCATATTAGGTACTTAGTGAATGTCCTAGTACATAGTAATTGAGTATTTACGTACTAAATAAATGTTAGTCGGATGATGGATGAATGTAAACATGAATGTACATCACTTCCCCGGAAGATGATTCTACATTTTTAAATTAGGTTTTTGAAGGTTTTGCCTTAAGAATTTGTGGCTAGGATGGCAGCAGCAGTAGGAGTGTGTTATGGGACGGATAGAGCAGGGCAGTGGTAATGATCAGGCAGGAGGGCTCTGGCAGGGCTCGGTCAGGTGTGATAACGTTGCCGTGCTGTGGGCTGACACAGAATGTTACACCAAGGAAGGAAGAGGGACATGGAAGAGCCTCTGCAGTGGAAAGAAGCCAGCTGGGGCGTTCATGTCTGTTGAATTCCTCCAGGAACCACCCAGAAGCCTTGTGGGATAAAGAAGGAGAGAAACTTCCCACCAAAGAATGAGAAGGGCTCTGTATTTTCTCCCTGGCTTTTCAGTTTAGTTTTGTTTAGTAAAGCCTGAGCTCTGGACATAGAGGTGGTAATTCTGTTCTGTGCTTGACGAAACAGCCTTCTGAATATCTTAAACCAGGATTGTCTCAGCTATTCTCAAATGCTGGGTCCAGTTTCCTTACAATTGAGATCTGAAGATGAGGACTTAGTTAG